ACACAAACCAAAACTGACAGTACAAAGCTTTAAATGGTTTAAATAATAACAACATTTTGGTGTTATAATGTCATTTATTTCTAGTATTAATGTGTATTCTATACACCAATATACACTAGAGAAATTAAATATATATATATTCTAATTTTTGCTGTCAGAAAACTTGCAACATGGCAACATCTGTTTTCAGATTTTTATTTTTTAGCAAACTTCTACGAAGTCCTGTTAACTTCTGAAAATAACTTAATGTTTTTCACCTTGTTGGAGCTAAGCTGTAGTATGTGTTTTTGTTTCTTTGGTTTGCTTTTTTATTGGATATTTTTGTATTACAGCTCTAAGTGAAGTGAGTGACATTGAAAGAAGGTAAGTTTTTCAGTCAATGCTATGTTTACTATTTTCCAAGTTTAAATTCTGTTTGTTATGTCTTGCATTAAATTGGCTAATTTTCTTCTATTCTTAACATATTTTATTTTTCTTTAAATGTTTTAATCATTATTAACTTACTACAACTTATTTGACTTAGTGTGAATAGTTGTTAAATTTCAACACTTGTTTACATGTTTTTTGTTGTTTCTTAAAGTTTCTAAATTGTAGGAGTTTCCATTTTTCATACCAAATTATAAAATTATTTTAAAATGATATTCAATTTTGAGTATGAAAAATAATTTATAGCATTTACATGTTTTCTCTTATTCTGAAATAAAGTGTAGTTTTTATCAACCTGTTGACTTATTACCTTTGTAGCCACAAAGATATAATATTGAGTTTTGAGAAGGCTACTGCTCCTAAGTTTTCCAAACTGCTCATGGACACTTCTGTGATTGAAGGACAACGGGTAAAGTTGGAATGCCAAGTGACTGGTGAACCTCAACCCTTTGTTTCGTGGTATAAAGATGGCAAGCAGATTGATGCCTCTAATGATTATCAGGTGTGTTTATTTGTGCACAAAGAGTAAATTCAGAATAGCTACTCTAATGTCAAAAAATGATGGAAATGTGTAATATATTCAGTACCACATTAGTTCAGATTGGATGCAGGGCATGAGGTTTTGGGCTCTAACTTCCACAAGCTAACTCATGGTTAAATGACTAACTATGTGGTTAACTAACTAGCTTGGTTTAGCTATGACTTTTATACTATTTATGTCTATATCAAGCATTACTGGCCATTATATAATAAGTTTGTTTTATGGTATTAATTTGGTTCCTTCTGGTATGAGATGATGCATAATGTAGTTAGTACATTGTCCACAGAGTTTTTCACAAGAACTTATGGTAGTTGATATACTATTCTTAGTGGGAGTGGTAATATCTGTGATCACTGACTATTTGTCTACAACCCATTTGACCAACTGTCATCTCAGCAATTAATATTTCAGTTTCTTTTCATGATAAGCTTTCTCAGTGTTTTCTTTAGCAACATATTCTTTGCTGAATGATCTTATATAAGATGCAGAAGATTTTTCAACTTATTTGTGTGCTCTAGCATGCCATCAGGATTAATCAATCATCTTGTGTTGATTTTACAGCTAGTGAAAAGGACTTTTAAACTGCTACTGGATATGTGCTTTTTCAGACCAAGCTATTTGATATATGAATGTTTCGTCATTTTGCTAACCTTCTGCTTGACTACACCTGTTTAATGCTGAGCACAAGTGTATTCTTAATGGTGAAATCTTAATTTGAAAAGTTGCAATAATAAGTAAAAAAAAAATTCCATAATGGAAAAGAAGAATTTTCACTTTAATTTTTTTTAATTCTTTGTTCCTAATTTTTTTATCTACTTATGACTAAGAACTATCTCCAATTTAAAATACACTATATTTTATTGTTATTTTTTTAATTCAAAACCTTTCATTCTGAATTAAGAAAACATACTTTTTTTTTATCTAGAACTGATGGTGTTTCGCTTGTCACTTTAATAGTTGTTTTTTATTCATAAATCCTTTTTTTTTTATAAAAGTTTTTTTAAATTGTGCTTCATGATGTATTTTTGTAGTTATTCTTTTATTCATCAACCTATCATTTTCATTTAAGAGAAACTACTATAATTTGGTAATTTCACCTGATGTATCTGGACAAGATGCTGTATCACCATTCTTTGGTTGCTCAACAGATGTATCTTTTGTGGTTTTGGAGATGTTTCTAATGTATCTGAAATTTTGTAATTTAAGTATAATTCTATGGGGCTGGACTTTTGGAACATCCTATCTACTGTCATATTTTTTATTAATTTTTTCTCTTTACTCGTATTCTAATATGTGTTATCAAACTGATTTCAGATCACCCATGATAACTCAGGTTTAATCTCCCTCACTATTCCTGAAGTCTTCCCAGAAGATGGAGGTAGCTACACAGTTAAAGCTACAAACAAGGCTGGGGAAGCTAAATGTTTCTGCTCATTGAATGTTAATCCTAAAAAACCAGAGCCAAAAGTGCAGTATCAGCCATCTGTTCTTCAATTTCCTCCAAAGTTTACTCTGCACTTGATAGATACACGTGTTGGTAGAGGAAAAGAAGCAAAATTTGAATGCTGTGTTACTGGAACTCCAAAGCCAAAAGTAAAAAGAAAGATTTTCTTTATTCATGTTATTTGCATATATCAAAAATGTATATAATATATATATATATATATATATATATATTTTTATATAAATTAGTTGTTACTGTGAATATTTAGTAATCAAATTATATATCATCATCTGATAGAGGAAAACAATAAAAACTATCAGTTAATTGAAAAATATTCTTTAGCAACTTTTTCCCAACATTTTATATATAAGAAATCTTGTATTATTTATGTAAGAATTCAATTCTGTTTAACCATTGCTAACGAAGCAAAAATATTAATTATTATTGCTACTCTTTTGCATGCTTTTTATTGCGATTGTTAATTTAATAATTTTTTTTTACAGAAATATATAAATTACCTTTAGAATAAATAACTTGAGAAAGTTAAGATTTGCTGTGTTCCCAACTTTAGAATTTATTTAAACTATAGTGATTATTAAATGTAAAACCATGTGCAGTATTGCTTGATACTGAGCTGTTTAAGGTTAAACTATGTGTAATGTTGCATCATACTAAGTTTTTAATGTTCCACCACGTGTAGTGTTGTTTCATTTTAAGTTATGTTAAACCATGTATAGTGTTGCTTCACATTAAGTTACCTAGTGTTACATAAGGTGTAGTGTTGCTTTACATTAATTTATTTAGTGCTTAACCATGTGTAGTGTTACTTCAGATAAAAATATAGTGTTAAACTAAGTGTAGTAGTGCTTTTGACTAAGCTGTTTAATTAAACCATATGTATAGTTTTGTGTCAGATCTAAATTATTTATAAATATTAACCAAGCTGTTTTGATAGATTTGATAGAAGAATAAAAATAACTAAATTAATACTCTCAATCTCTTTGTTTTATAGCAAAAATTGTGTGACAATGTTGATGATATTATTTATGGTGTATGTTAAAAAATGCAATTTAAACCAATTTAGTATACACTGTAATAAAACATGTTCCTGTTTAGATTGTACAAGTTTTTAATGAATAATTCAGCTTATTGATTGATTTCTTTTCAATTGAACTAGTAGAATTAGACAATGAACCTTAAAACATTTTTTTTCTTTTTTCAGATACAGTGGTGCTATAAGGGTTGGCCAATCACTGCTGACAAGGACCACAATATCACAGCTGATGGGGATAAACACTGTTTAGTTATTCCAACTGTCTCCTCCTTTCACAGTGGGAGATATTCAATTACGGCTGAAAATCCTATTGGTAAAGCTACCTCATCAGCTCTCTTAGTTGTTGAAGGTAAGAAGTTAACTTAGCTTTATATAATTTTAATTAAACATTGGTTGCTATCAGTTTGATTGTATAAATAGTGCTAAAGATAGTAAAGCACAGTTGTACCTGTTTAGGCAACAGGATGTGATAGAATGTTCAAATTACATATTATTATGTTGTAAACTACTATACCTTACATGTTTGTAGATAGAAATATGCATTAGTATAAATATGATTTTGATGGCTATTTCTTTGCTGTATACAATTGGTGAGAAGGCCTTTTCTCAATCAACAAGCCAATCAGGTCCAAGTCTGCAGTATAGTTAAGTTCAGTGACCATAACTTGATCAGCAAAACCTTTAAGGTCCAAATATGATATTAATCATACGATACAGTAGGATGCTGCTTTTCCAAGTTTTTTATCACTTATCTGTGATTATCTATATAAATAATACACTTGCATTTGTCTGTTCTGAACTATTTTCACAAATATAATCAAACACTGTAAATCTTGTACCATTAGAAAGGCCTTTGTCCAAGGAGTCTATTCAAAATCAGCTTACCTTTTTTTGCTTAGTCAAACTTTTTAATGCAACAGGTATGCTACATGATGGCACAACATCGTTGTCATCATGTGACAACTGGCCTCGATTTCAACGCTAGTTTTTTATTTGCAAGGTATTTCACACAAACAATACTTAACCTGCGTGTAATCTCCTAAAAAAATGAAATGAACATTACACTTATTTCAGCTAACTTTGCCTTCATTATAACTTTACATATACTTTACTTTGCAATAATTTACCTTTGGTTCATTTCATTAACTGCTATAAACACCTTTTTAACAACTTTTTTCATTAGTACAGGTTTTATTCTTTGTTATTGTAAGTTTCTTTGTTTCAACTTGTAAAATTGGTCATACACTGAATGCCCATAACTGTTTCATACTTATCTTGCTGACTCTTTTAGTTTTTCTGTTACTGTTCTCATACATTATAAAAATTTAATAATTATTAGTAACCCAAAAGTAAGTTAACTATACAGGCTAGAACTAAAGAGTAACCTATAAACTAATGAAGCCAATTTTATAAAGCAAACTGAGAAGAAGTTCATCATTACACAACAAGACTAAAACCTATAATAATCAGAATGCATTGAATCAACAGTTGAGTACCTTTGCTATTAACAAATTTTTTTTCCATAACATTTGATATGATTCTATTGAAACTTATTTGATTTAATCAGAGATTAAAACCTGTGACATCTATATTTATAGATAAACAACTGTCCCAGTATTATGTGTACTTTTAGATTCACAATAAAGAACAGAAAGGCCCATTTTTTTATGTTTCATTACATATATAAAACTTGAACTGGGAAAGTTTGGGAAGTTTGAAAGGGAAAACCTTTTCTTATGGTGATATAAAATTCCAAACTCATATAGCACTACTTTAGAAGAGGGAACATATATGTACACATGGCATTGATAAAGTTAAAGAGAGAAACAATACAAATAAATTTGTTTATTATTTTACCCACAAGATATTATTGTAACATGCCAAAATAGAATGTGAAATAATTCTGCATAAACTAAAATGCATTCCATTAATATAACTTGGTACTGATTCTTGTTATGAGTGATATACCTTAATTAAATTTTTATAATCAATGTCAGTTGTGTGAATTTTCACACACGTCAGTTAATTTACTCTGTTTGAAAAAGCAACAACAAAAGAACAAACTTGTATTAATAGTTTAAATTAATGTATGCTTTACAGAACCATTTGATGACAAAGCATTGTGGGATGGATTTGGAGAACCAAAGTGAGTAGTTTGTGCTAATGAAAGTTATTTACTTACATATTTGTTTGTATGAGTTATAAGATAACATATTGCTCCTGTTCTGGCATTTTGAAAATAAAATGCAGCAAGAATATTTCAAATAAATAAAGTGCTCCTTCTTCTTTTTTATTTTAAATTGATCCTGCCATTTTGATTTCCTTTTTTTTATTTATCCTGCCATTTTGATTTCCTTTTTTTTAATTTATCCTGCCATTTTGATTTCCTTTTTTTTTATTATGAATTGATTCTGCCATTTTGATTTCCTTTTTTTTATTTATCCTGCCATTTTGATTTCCTTTTTTTTAATTTATCCTGCCATTTTGATTTCCTTTTTTTTTTATTATGAATTGATTCTGCCATTTTGATTTCCTTTT